TTTATATATATAAATGCGTACTAAAATAATAAAACTATAGTAAAAACGGACATTCATTTATACACATCGATGGTCCTGTGCAATAACGACACAATTCCAAATTCAAAAAATAAAAACTGTTACAGTGTTAAGTGGCGCATGCCCCTAATTCTTGTCGAATCCATGTCTAACCTACTGTACTTACTTTTTCAATCCTTACTGCTTGCCTGAGTAAGGGATGAAAATGGATTAGACAAAGATCCGTCAGCGTTAGCCCTTCTATTAAGTGGATAATGATATCTGATTCCCCATAAGAAGTAAAATCTATATTTTTTTGTTACCATTTATTTTTTTTCAAAGTGGAAAGCCTAACTAAAAACTTTAAATCCGATTTCTCGCTTTTTTTTTTGTTTATTTGAGTTATTTCGTTTCGTTTCAGCAAACGAGCGTTATGCAGTATAAATTAGCGCAATACAATGAACCCGACAACTTTGATGTATTCCGTTTTTTATGCATGTCAGGAACCGTTCAGAAGGTCAGTACCCACAAATCGTCTCTTGGTATGTACAATTCATTCATTCGGCACAATTCAAGTGCGTTCAAATGGTTAGAGTATTGGTCACCAAATTAGTTAATGCTACTACTGTCGGTTAAACTTTTGATTCAACAATCGCCTGTGAAAGTTGAATCATATAAATTCCCTATAAGTCAGATGATATATGTATGTAGGTATTAGATGGATCACGCTAACTTGGACATGTAATTATACCCAAGTAAAGGAGAGTGGTCAGTATGGAATTTACATGTATCGACGGCCGCTAAAAGATTTCTCCTAAGTATTTCAAGTAAATTGCACTCTCTCTCTCTCTCTCTTAGTTTTTGCTTAAAACCCTGGTGAGGCCGATTAATCTGTACAATATGAATATAATTCGTCGGGAGCTCAACATGCATCCATCCAGGATAGAGCAATCGAGGTAGCTTCGTTAAATGTATGTGGATGCCTTTTCTACATAGAGGGGATTTGTGATAATATGTTCCCGAGAGTTTCAAGCGATAACACTGATTGTAAGTACCAGAATAAGAAGAGATAGATCCATGAAAATGTATACTTATACGATCAGAACGTCAATCTGAGCCGATTCAGCCATAATTCTGTCTGTTCGTCTGTCTGTCTCTCAGTATTCGAGATATCCGACTGAAATTTGGTAAGTGGAGTATGTATTATAATGTATTAATTTGTCAGAAACGGAAATATCTGATCACTATAACATATAGCTCCCATACAACTGATTCATCAGATATGAGATCCTTCGTTATATCTCCTCCATTTATGTAGCTAGCAACATGAAATTATAACCTATGGATGCTCCATACAACTCGTTGTTCAGATATGGGATTTTACTTTAAACCTCCTTAATTTCGACAGCTAAATTTGAGAAATTTCTAAATAATCATACAGCTATTTTCTAAATAATTATACAACGTCTACTGAGATAATCGTCAATATGGGTGCTGTACAAGGTTTATCTCCTATACCACTGATTGTTTAGAAACAAGTTTTTGCAATACATATAACTCCTTTACGTAGGCAGCTCAAGCCATTAAATTGTGTTACATACCGATCACACACAGCAGCGAAAATCACTCAGATTGGTGCTTTATAAGATATATCTTCCATACCTGTGATTGTTTAGATATGATTTTTATTTCATATACAAATGTAACTCCTTTTTATATGTACATATGTATGCTGTGAACATAAAAATGTGGTTTAGTTCCCAAACAACTAATTTCAAATACAGTTATCTGTTAAAGTAAAATTTTCTGACGTTCATGAAAGGTATAGCCGAAGACAGCGCTGCTCTTACTTGTTTTCAATTAAAGTAGCGCTCGTCGACATCGTATGTAGGAAAAAGACTGCAGCAGCAAGGGCGCTACGATCTATGCACTATAATATTGTTGGAGGCTTCGAGTTTATTTAGTCCTGACAATACGCGATAAGGCCAGTATGCAGCTCTCAAGAAAAGCAAAAACTCCGTATAAAATGACGCACAAGAAATGGCTAAAAAATTTTCTTGTGTAAAACTTTTTTGAGGCAGTACGCAGTTCTTAAGAAATTTGCTACGCCCACACGGCAACCCATGCTTGCAACAGAAATATATGCCCGTTCCATTATTGCTTAAGGAAAGGAAGTGAGGCAACAGCATCAGATGACAAAATTCCTTAGACACACACACGAATTGTTATTGTTGTTGGCAATTTTTTTTTTTTCTTGACCGTTTTCTTGAGAGCTGCCGAGGGATTCGGGCGTGGTGCCATAATTTATCTCTGCGAAAGAATGTTGTGGAACAGAAGCCAATTGAAGCCGCGGCATCGGGTTATTTATTTTTTTTTTCGTACGATTAGGGAACTCGTTTATTACACCACCCTTAATAAATAAAAATAAATAAAAGCGTTAATGGCTGCTACAGACCAGCTGTGTTAACATCGCAACTTGACATTTAGTCGCAAGTACATAACATCCAAACAATTAGTTAGTGGTGTTATCATAGCAAACAAACACTAAGCGCAAAATTTCCGTGATAAAATATGTATTAACGATAAAATGCCGGTACACTAAGTCTTAAAGATACAAAAGTAAAAACAGCGTTCGCCGTGAGCCACTGCCTCTATGGCTGAAAATGCACTTGCAGCTGCTTTAGATAGACAGACAGACTGACTGTTAGGCTACAAAAGTTGTAAAGCAAATTGAGAGTCAGTCATCAAAATTTCCAATATTTGTTTGCGCGTACTAATTTTCGCTTATCTTTTTTCGAGTATACTCATATTTGAATATTTAAAATTCTTATTTATTTGTATGTTTTTTAGTGTTTAACACCCTCATAAATCTAGAAACTAGAAAAACAAATTCATATATGTATATTTGAACCCAACGCGACTTGCCTCAAACGCAATCTAAGCTACATATCGTCGTTTAAAGTACAAAACGGCGTATGTGAGGTTGCATAAATTATTTTATAGAGAGTAAAAACAGTCATATTTCAAAATGGTTTCCTTTTTATAAAGCAATCGCATTTCTGGCTAGTATATTTCAGGACGAATGGATAAGAATGGAGCCAAGAGCTTGTGTGAGCAAATCCAATTTTTGGCAGCCAATGTCAGTTACGCGGTTTTGTACTTTAAACGACGATATGTATGTATGTATGTATGGATGTGTTGGGAAATACTGTTGACGACTGTTATTCCCAATGACTTAGTGTTGACATATTGCGATGTAGTTTACATTTGTAAGTCAATATTATGTGTGTTTTGTAAGAATAACGAAAATAAAATTCCAAAATTAGTAGATATGTATTCCACTAAGTACATATTATTGTTAAGAAAATTAAAAATTTCAAAATAATCTTGCTGGTATCTCTTTATGATGTCATATCTAAGAGGTATCATTAATAAGTTGTTCCAATAATTTTTGTTTTATTTTATTTCATTTTGTTTTATTTTTGAAATTCCTGACTCTTTTATGTCCATACATAAATACATAGTATATGCGCCATAAACATAATCATTTAGCCCAATCACATTTAAAAATTTACGGTAGCAACGACCACTTCTCAAAAACAAAAAAGGTAAATTTGTTCCATACTTAAGGCTATAAAAAAAAACAAACATATGTACATACATATGTGTGTGCAAGTATGTACACGCCGACGATTTAACGCAATCAAAAATTTGCGATCTAAAAAACGCAGGTAAGCAGTGAAGCAAAATTGCAGCTGCTGGCAAATTGTTGGTGAGAATTGTAGAAGTGTAGCAAGAAAAAACTAAATGCTCCTACAAATACATACATGCCTGTCCGGCTTGTGCTGACCGCAGGCGCAGCACGCGCTTTAGCATGCTCCAAAAATAAAGACAGCCTGAAATTAAGCTAACACAAATGAGAAGAAAAGGCGTTAAACCAAACATACCAATTGCCAAAAACTCTGTGCCAATGAAAACATACAAAAAAAAAACGAAGACAAAAACCAAAAAAACCAAGCAAAATCACTTCAAGGGACTGCGAGCTCGGTCGGCTCTTCAATACATCGCAATTTATGAGGGTCTAGGTAGCACTTCAAACAATTTCGTCATTTCTTTTATTTGCATTTTAACCATTGAATTCCACAGCAAAGCAAAACGGCCAACATTCACTCACAATTTAAGAAAAAAATAATAATAATTCGCATAAATCTTAAAGAAATTTCAAAACAAAAGCAATGATGATGCTTTTAAAAAATTCCAAAACAATTATCACAAGAGCAGCAGCTTTGCACGATTTCGTTAGGCATTCGCAACTACACTGAGAAAAATATTTAGGTACACAAAGAAATTTTCGTTTTCAAATTTGTATGGAACGTTTGAACCTACAGTATTTATTTAAGTTTTGAGAACGAAAATTTTCAATTCAATTTCTAAAATCTATGTTTTTGTTTTTGATACGCACATTTTAAAATCGTTTTTAAAAACGATCGTGTGGTTATTGAAAATGCGCATGTTCAAATTGAATTCCAAAATATTCGTTTTTAAAATATGCGTTTTCAAATATGATATTAAAATTTTATTTTTATTAAATCACTACAAATCTTTTGGGATATATGTACATTGTCAAAAATTGATTGATATACATATACTTATAAATAAGTTACAAAATTAATGAGGAAAATACAGATGTTAAACATATCGACTGCTGAGTGGAAGATTGACCTATCTCGGCAGCGAGTTCGAAAACGCCTTATCTCAAAAAAATTTTCAAGATCGCCCTATTTCAGAATTTTATGAAAAAATGCCCTATCTGACTTCAAAATGCATTGAAAATGTGCTGATATATATAGGGCGTTTTTGAATCGGCAGCTGAGATAGGACGTTTTTGAAACGAATTCTGAAAATTTTTGAAAAGTTTTTTGAGATAGGGCGTTTTCAAACTGGCTGCCGAGATAGGTCGATCTTCCACTCAGAAGTCGATACATACATACATAAATACATACAGGTTTTCTTGCCTTTCTTCCAAGCTGGGCCCGCTGATATTGCTTCGCGCTGGTCAGATCCTGCAAATTATAATAAGAAAATCATAAATTATTATTTAATAGTCCACAGGAATCTGTTTTATAATTTAGTCTTACCAAAGCTTTTTTTTCGATCAGAGGAGTCCACAGTACCACCAATCTTCCTTTTATTTAGGTGGTTAGAATGGCGTAATATATTTATTTCATCGCCTTTTTTGAAGATTGAAGTAGTTTTTTTCGCTGCACACAATTTTTTCGACAAATGATGCAAAGATATGAAATGTTTTTCATTATAATTAGATAGCTTTTTGAATTCTAATGCAAAACATTTTAGTTTTCAAACTTAATTGGCTGAAAATAAATTTAAGTTTTTATTTTAAAAGTGTCTCGTTTTATTTTACTTGTTGCAAATTGTGTCGCACTACAAATCATTGGGACAATATTCTAAATGTTTCATTTTAGTTTTGAAAATACGCATTTTGGCGTTAAATATATTATAACGTTCGTTTTTATTTTGCGAATATTTCGTTTCAAAGTCGTAAATACAAATACTGCATTTTTTATTTTGTATAAAGTAAAATTATGTACCAAAATTTTGTTTTACAATTTCTTTTAAAAACTTGCGTTTTACCTGTATCATTTTCTCAGTGTACCATATTCTCTTTATTTCAAGCTAAAACACATACATATGATTTTGCGCCAAACGCCCTTTTGTTTACTTTAAACAGATTTATTTTTGGAGATTTTTTCGTTTGAACAGGATTTCGTTCTTCTGCATTTTACAGAAACCTTTTGGTAATTAAGAAAAACAAAATAAAAAAAAAAAATATATATATATATATACATATACACTCACCAGAATATGTTTCCGTACACTGTTTTTTTTTTTAATATTTGCAATGTTTTTCGTAATAAATTTTTTCGTTAATTTTTAATGGTAATATAGTTTATTCTGCATCAAATGGCATATAAATTAATGATTCAAAGTTTTTACAAAATTTGGGAAAATTCGACAAATTTTCACCAACATTTTAAACTTTTAAACAAAATTATTTAGCATTTTTTGGCAGTACGCAATTTTGTAGCTCACTCAATTTCAGTATAAGTGCAAGTTTTAAGTGGCCATGATCTACCGTTGAATTTTGAGAATTTGTATCTTATCTAATTCAAAATTGTACTTTATTATACTGAATTGATTGTATAAAACTGCATACTCAAAAAAATTCAAAAACTTTTGTTTAAAAGTTTAAAAAATTGGTGAAAATTTGTCGAATTTTCCTATATTTGTAAATGTGTTTTGAAATGTTTCCTTTTAATCAAGGCCAAATCGTTGATTGAAAATTTTGTATACGGCTGAACTCATTCTCTCTTCAAGTTACGTATCGAGGGCTTATATTCAATACCCTCTACCTGCACTTTTCACAAAAAAAGAGGTTCTGTGATATTAATGTTGACCTTGAATAACGCCTAACAAAATAATTTACTATTAAATTGCATAGTCAGAATTAACATCAGTGATGACAGGTACGTCCCAGATGGGTTCCAACATCACAAAGTAGTTTTTGTCAAAATTGCAGATAGAGGGTATTTAATATAAGCCCTCGATATGTTTAAGTTTGTTTAAAAATACGTTTTCTATTCAAAAATTTCTAATCGCTAACATGGAAAAACCAAAAACGACACTGTTTGAAAAAGTCATGTTACTTTTCTCTTAGTGTACAGAAGTGCGAATATCTACGCGAGGTAGCAAATACAGCAGAAGCGTTGAAACGTCCAGGCTGCCCGGAGGTATTAGTTAAGCTCTTCTTTTTTGTTATGCTTTTCGGTTAAGGCCATTAACAATGCACAAAAACAAATAAGCCAAAGGGAAATTACACAGTTCCTTTAAATTTCACGAAATTTATATACACACCTACATACATACATACTTATATAGTATGTACATACATTTTATTTTTTCAGTATACTATACATCGTAAATGTAATACTTCTATATTGCTAGTACAATATGATCGCAATATGTTTTTAATTCGAAATCAAAGAAAGACAACCTATGTATGTATATGTATGTATTTGTAAACTACTACATCGACTGAAGTGTCATCCCAGCCAGCAAAAAATCCGAAAACCGGCTGTTTCGGCTGTTTTTTTTATGAAATTTGTCTGATTGGATTTTTCGTTCAATACGCTTTCCTTCTGCACTTCACAGATACTTTTTCACAGTTCAAAAGAAATAAAATAAAATTAGGAAGCGCCTGACGTAATTCGGCACCTTCTAGAAGCTAACAAGTAGCGGCATACTCCTCTGCACGCTCAGCCACTTTAGCTTGAGCAAATAAAATCAATTATTGCCTTCAAATGACATCATCTTTTTCGAACGTTTCGAACGTTTTCCGAATACGAAAATTAATGATAACTGTCGGAGTTTTTCTCTTCGTTTTCGGATACGAAAAATTTAACTAAACTGCACTGTCGTCGGTCGGCACGTGTAAGTTTGAGTTTTGAACCTTTTGAAGACGGTGTGCGACATGTAGGTTTACTATAGCGAACAGAAAATTCTCAAAACCATTTTCAAACAAGCTGCAACTGTGTATATTAATGACTCATTTTGGCTGATCAGTCTTTGTAAAACCCTAAAATATAAACACATAAAACAAATACAACTATGCCACGTAATTTGAAGCATTCAACGGAAGTGGCAACACAGTATTCCGCGTATTTTGTATTATTATTATTTTTGTTTCGTAATATATTTATTTGCTCACATTTTTAGTATCTACATATCTTCAATACCTATGAAGTACTTATTCTTATCAAAGCGTCTTTCAATAGTAAGTATTTCAGGTATGTGTATGTACATACATACATACATACATATGTTAAAAGCCGCTCCTACAAAAAGCCTTGTAGCAAGTAAATATCCAATAGTCGGGGGTAAATATGTACATACTGACTATGTTTCCAGTACATTTTAAACGAAATCGAAATTGAAACAAGTTGGTATGCCAGTCGCACAAAAAGCCTAGTGATAGGTGTTGATGTTGTTTAGTCGTGGATTAGTGACCGTCGAGAAAGGTAAAGCGAAATTTTTAAGTAAATGACAAGTGTCCTTTTTCGATCTTCCAATTGTCAAATGTCAAAATCTTAAAAAAAAAAATTGTGTGTGTGCAAAGGATCGAGAAACGTGCACGGACATAAATTATAATAAAATATATTCGTTCAAAAGTAATCACACCCCCGATTTATGAGTTTTTCTATGTAGTGTAAGGTCTAATTGAAGTGCTTAAACGAACTTTAGTTACTGGGCAAAAATTTAACGGTTCCAACACTTATGGCCACTTTCTCAAAGTCTGGTTATCTGGTTAACTGCAGGTTAAACATCGTTATCGACGTGATCGACTCCATAACATATGACAGGGTTATCGATAACATCGATAACCATGTTTATTAACCTGTAGTTAGTGTTAACCACAACATTAAGAAACTTGCCCTTAATGCGACAAGCGATTGTGACCATAAAATGTTAAAAAGTATGTGATTTAAATACGTTATTGTTATGCAAAGCCTCAATCAAAAAAAAACGCAGACACAAATGCTTACTCGTATTATAATTTATTGCAGTCGTACAACAAGTTTAATTTTAGCATACACCAATATTACAAAATCGAGCTTCAGATAAACGGATGAAAAACAAATCGCCACTGAAGCTTCTGAGAGCAACAAACCAAGTGCAAATAAAAGGTGTTAATTACCTCCAGGTATGAGTCAAATATGTATTATATTTGATATTTGAAGATTTGCGCATATTAATATTTATTTCGATAGTGTTATTGCGCTTTGTACCACGATTTTGATTTTTAGGAAAAATTTAAAAGCAAAGTCGAATGTTAATCGAAATTTTTGAAGTACATATACAGTATATAGTATAAAAAAGGCAAGTGAAAATGGCATGCAGAAAAAATTTTGGAATTTAGAGTTAGCTTTTTACGCAGCTCATTCTATTTCGGTTGGTTCCATACAAGTTGTGTGTGCATGAAAAATTTTTGATAGTAAATTGCCGACGTGAGTGAATATTAGGCTGGCCTATAGAGGTGCTGGTCATTGCTATACCTACGTATCCTTTCCTTTGTCAATTTATCACATTGCAAATTACCTTCAAAATCCGGTGTACTGGCACCCAAATGAGTAGAAATTTATGTAAAATTTGCATTAAAATTTATGATTGTGTCTAAAGTAAAGCATTTTATTATCGGTTTTAAATTGGTTTACAACCAAGAAACATACATACGTCAAAAACCGATAATAGAAATGGTTAGCTTTAAACATAGCTTTATTTTTAATCCATCCTTTAAATATAAAGTGAGCTTCAAAGTTGAGAGTTACTTCAAAAAAACGGCCCTTTGAATGGTTTTATACAAGAGGGCTTGTTCGAAGTCATAAGCCGTATTTCCTCTTGACATTAAATGACAAAAATTTTTATGCCAAAGTTAGGCATCAAAAAATGGCGGTATTGTGTTATTATTTCAATAAAAATAGTCAATAAGTTCGTTTCCATATGTAAATGGCACAACGTTTTTTTCCGGTGGAAATTCAGCATTTCTTGCTTCCTTTTTTCCAATAAGAGAGTTTTTTTTTATAATTGAACACATACATACATTAGTGCGGGTCGAAGTTTGTATATTCCTTTAATACTTTTGTAATGGTGAAAATATGTTGTTCTATAAGGTCAATTGCTTTGCCTCGGCGCTTAAGTAGAACTAGGCATACAGATCGAATAAAACTAATGGTACCAAAGAACGTAGATAATAAATAGAAAATTAATTATCTAGTTCTTTGTTGGTACGAAGTCAGAGTTTGGAAAAACGGTTTGGTTATTGTACATAGAGAATTTATCCGGAAACCCAAATCACTTTGTTGAACAACTATTGCGGCAGCCCTATAGTTTATGGAGCAACCTTTTTTCTGCAAATATGTATGTGAGTACATCCTAAAAAGAGTCAAACAAAAGCAAAAAAACATAATAAAAATCTACCTGGACTATATTTGAAGAGGCCAATCGATAGCTCCGCTATGTTGCGTTTTTCATATATGTACATACTCAAATCGATCCATTACATTTGCTATCTACTTTTTCTAACATTATATTACTTGTAGAAAATATACTTTTTCCAAAAAGCTTCCTAAATAAGGCAAAATTAAAAATATGCGTAATGGTTTAGAAAATACTATGTTTTTAAGTCTTATACCAAAAATTATGTAGAAGACTGTGACTAATGATCTAAAACAAAGTTAAAAGATTTACTTATTTTGAAGCGTTCGGACGCAAAATATGTATGTACCTAATGTAAGAGAAAGAGTGGTAATGTTTACTTTAATTACTAAAATTATAATATGAAAGCTAGTTATGGTTGCACTATCTACTTGCATACAAATTTACTCGGGAAACTGAAGGATTACCGAATGTAAGGATATTAAAACGTTGAAAGTCCGAAAGGTATGATGACACAGATCTTCAAAAAAAAACATATACAGCAAAATATCTAGGGCGGCGTTCATATTTCTAGGATATATTATGTCGCTGACTCCTAATAAGTACATATAACTTTTACCTTTTTACCTCGCTTTTATTAGCTTGGGATGTAACTATGTAATAAAGGTGCGCCTAAAAGATGGACCGATTTCCATCATCAATGACAGTACAAATGGAAATTGCTTAAAATTTCCATTATAAACTTACGTTTCCAACGATTGATTGCGCGTGTTATTCTATTCGTAATAGTAGTTTTAAAACCAATTGAGTTTAAGACTAAAAAAAAATGAAAATAAAATTATAGTTCAAAGATCTAAAAACTTATAGAGATACAGATTTTGTTTAAGAAGAATACGACGTTCCCTAACTGGATTCAATTTAACTTTTAAAAATTACCTAAAATAAGATTAAAGTAATTTACAAAAAAATTAATTTTACCGGAAAACAAAGCGTGGGGTGCTTCTTACTAAAAAATTAAAATGAAAAGTTCAAAACAATTGATATCAAACACCACACGTTTATATATACATATATATGTAGATCCTAAAGAAAGAATTTGAAAGACTACGCTTATAAATCACTAACATTTTGCTTGTTATGGCCAGCGGGTCGATACAATTTTTTAATTTGTAAAGGGGTCGTGTATTCAAATACAATATTGAAAAAGACTGGCAATGTTTAGGGTGCTGATTTCGACAATGCCCTCTGTTTTTTTTTTTTAATTTTGGTATCAAATATACATTGTCAAAGATACATATGACGAAATTTAATTAATTTAAACGAAAAATGTTCTTCAATTGTACAGATGATTTAAAAATTTAAGAAAGATAATGGGAAATAATTACCCAGAGTGTCTGTCATATGTTTGATTGAAGCTCGCGAAACACTTCATGACTATCCAATCTCAAATTCCTTCAAAAATGTTCCCGGATCTATCAAGGACTAGTGTATTTGGGTACTATCACTTTTACATGTCCATAGAAATTACTAAATTTTATCTCTGTGTCTTCTCTTTTTGATACTATGGTGACTAATCAAGTAAGTATGCACAATTTTTGTATGATAGATTAAATCAAAAGAATTACAGATTGGACTTAAAACGGATGTGTTTTCACCTACTCTTATTTAGTTGACTTTCACTTCATTCAATTTTAAATATTCCCCAAAAAATGAAATTGAATTTGAGATAATGAAGGTTAAACTTGAGTACTTATTGGAAATTTTGGGAAAATGCATTTGAAATGATTCTTGCCCAAATGAATGCAGGTTAATTTACTAATTCAAAGAATGTTTACACTTTGGCACCAAATAAACACTATATTTTTAACTATACAAATATGGATATAACTTATATTAAAAAAAAATAAAATAATGTCACTTAGACACTTGTGATTCTAAGCCCTTCATTAATTGCCTTGGTTACCGAATTAATGAAATACTGAAAATTTGCATGAATATATTGCCACCTTGAAGTCTTATTGAAAAATTGTATATTAAAGTGAGGTACTCAATTGTACAACCCTTTATCTGATTTATCGTTTGCTTCAATTACGTACGAATTCTCTAGATATTAGAAACCAAAGTTATATTTAATAAATTCTCACCACTTTGAATAAATTGCGTGGGCTTTATTTTAATCTTTTATGGCCAGTTATTATTATCTTAATCCTGACGAAACATAATATCACTATATATTACAATACAATCAAATGGCCTTTAATTACACCACACAAACCCTGTGGGAAAATCTCTAGTTCTGAACTGGTGCGCCTGTAGTACGGTAGATCTCTTTTGCATACAAACAACTGGCGAATTTAACATGGTGATGTCCTAGGAAGTGTCAATTGCCCTCCGCTGCATCCCTTTTTAAAATCCCAGTTTTAAAATCGCCAGACGAAAGAAAAAAGTTTGATGATTTTTCAATCTTTTCGGTTCTTCCGTGTGCGATTTTACATTATTTTCAAAGAAACGTTTTTTTTCAATTTGAAATTAAATTTGTTTGAATGATTGTAAGAAATGTACGGGGGTGCAGGGGTGCTCGCTGTTATTGGTTAGATTCCAGACGGCCCCAAGATGTTAATATGTTAACACAAAGTTTTGTTTTGTATTGCCAAACTATCAAATAGCGTCTGCGAAGTGCAGAATGAAAGTGCATTTGAACGAAAAATCCGCCAAACACATATCTATGTTAAGTAAACAAGCCCCCCGCTGCATCCCTTTTTCGATAGTTTCGGCCTAATTCTAAATTCGACAGATAAGATCTAGTTCGTTCTGCGTCCCTTTTTCTATAATTCCGAGCCAGTTCTAAATTCGTCACTTTAGATATAGATTTCTAATGAAAAAAGAGAAATAAAATAGTTTTTTTAAGAGTCCCACATTTTGCTGATTTTGAACTGGTGCGGATCTACTTACTATCGGGCTGGTTCGTTTTTGGCGATAAAGATCTTGTACGGAACTAGAAATTGTATGCACCAGTCCGCGGTTTCCCTGCAGGGAAATGTACCCAGCCTAATACTCGTATATACTATAAATATTGACATATAAAATATCAAGTCTACACTTTGCAGTCGTTAAATATAACAAAGTATATCTACATACTTATGTATATACATACATACAGATCTGCGCCCAACTGGAGTCCCACGTGCACCTTAACCACTTTCTCGCCATCAAAACCAACCGCTTTACGCTATCCAAAAATGTAAAGGAATATCCAAAACCAAATACCAGCTTGCGCAAATGATCAACAATCATAAATACCGATTGCAGCGACGCAGATGATTTGTTTTACAAATTTTTATTCGGCTTTTTTTGGTTTTGGTTTGGTTTGGTTTTCACCTCAAATCCAATCAATCAACGCAGCAACAAGTCACTGTCAATACAAAAATACACATACGGACAAACACACATAAGAATATTATTTACTTAAGTCAATTGACGCTGGCATTTGTGCGAGTAGTTGTGCAGTTAGTTGCCTTGTTGTAGTGTTGGGGTATTTTGCTGCTGCTGTTGCACTGATGCAGTTTTTGCCACTAATACATTTTTGTAGCTGCCAGTGTGACTGCGAACCAGCTAGTCAGACATTTAAGTTATGCGCGAAAAAGTAAAAAATGCAAGCAAAGCAAAAAAAAAGCAAAGACGAACGACGAATAATCAAAGGCGCACAAAGCAAAATAATAATTATAATACATATCACAAATATTTAGCACCGAATGGCTGCACAGAGCGCACAATGGCAGCTGTTGAGTAAGATTGTTGTTTTGCTCACTTGCTCCGGCTGCTTAGGCTTTGGCGCTCACCATTGCCAGCCGCCAGCCGCCAGCCGCCAGACACGCTCCACGCGCAATTCGCACACACTTGCTGGACTTTGCGGTTCGGTGCAGCGCTGCAGCGGCAACACCAGCAGCAGCGATTAGCCATTTAGGCGCTCAGATAACCACCAGCAAACCAGCAAACCAACCAACCAACGGCGCAACCGCTCAGCATGATAAACCAGATAGCTGGCTGCACGAAATGAGCAACTGCGCGAGCAACCAACCGGCCAGTCATGCCCAAAAGCCAGCTCTACATACGAGCTTCCAGCTGCCGCGGCCAGCAGTTAGACGCGCGCACTCACAGCTGCTGTGCGCTGAACTCTTGCTTTCAGTTTCAGTTTCATTCCAGACTTAGCCGCGCGCACATTTTTCAAATTCTCCGTTTCGCTACACAAACACCTCGCGCAAATATGAGTACGAAAACAACTTAATAAAAACCAACAGCACAGAAAATATACAGAAACAAACAAAAATATATAGCAAAAGCCCATTGTGGTAGGTTTCCACAGCCAGTTCAGTCTGTCAGTCAGAGTCGTTTGTGGACGTTGTAATAGTTCACTTTTTTTATTGACGATTTTTGGCTTTTTCAAATGCCACGGGTATTTTGTGTTTTGGTGGCTGTAAATATTCATAAAAATTAAGCTTAACAAATTAAACAAACAGATACTAAGCAATAATTAATAAAACACTACGATATTTTTTTTGCATTTGCACGTCACATATTTGCGTCAATTATTTGTATAAAACCGTTGAGTCTGTATTGGTAAAAAAAACAAAAAATAAAACGTTTGCCAAATAGCCGAGAAAAAGAAAATAACAATCATAAAAAAAATAATTAATTTCAATAAAAGCAAGTTTGTGTCTTAAGTCTTTTGACAGCGCAGTTCGTGTATGCATGCAGTTTTGTTGTGTGTGAGTGTGTGCTTGCAAGTTCGCTGTCTAAGTCGTTTGTTTTCATACAAAGTGACATTTCACACACACGCTTTCCTAGCAAAAGTTCAAATGTCAACAAATAAAAGACGAAATCCAGAATTTGTTTGACACGAAACGACAACAAAACAAACAATAACAAAGCAAAGCAAACAACAGTGACAATAAAAAAAAAAAAACGCAAAAAACCATAGTAAACAAGTCAAAGTGCCATTAAACACGTCAGCCAGTATCGCGCCGATAGGCACAAAATCATTCTTCCACTCTAACGGCATTGCACACCGGTAAATTACGAAGGCAGAACGGCAATAATAGCAATTATCATATTAAGCAGTGAATAAGTGAATATTGCCACTAATAAATCGGCGATTTACATATACATAGTATACATACAGATGTAAATAAAAAAATTAATAACAGAATAATAAACGTGTTGTAAGTTTAATTGAAGTGCAAAAAAAGTTTACGTCGAAATTTTACATTGATCATTTTTATACGTAAGCCAACTGCAAAAAAGGTAATAATCGGAGAACAATAAAAGTAATTAAGTGTACAGCTTTTTATTATTAAGAATAACACTAAGCAACAGTGAAACCCAACATTTCCAATGGACATTTAATTTACAAAAATTTGTTCAAAAATTTTTTACACCCTAAAGTGCTCAATTTATCCAAAAAATAAATGTCTCTATATGTAGAGCAACTTAACCTATAAGAGCATTTGAAAAAAATAAATAAATAATAAAAAAATATGAGTTTGGCAAAATGTGGGAAAATTTTGAAGGAAATCTCAAATTTTTAAACATCATTTGGTCATGTCCTGAAAAGTATACAAGAAAATCCATGAAAAACTGCATACATGTAGGCAAAATCAACTGTTTCTTTATAGAATAAGGCCGAAATGTAACAATCCAATAATTTTTTAACAGTATTGATTTTTTTTTTTTTTTTGTAGAATTATGGACGTTTACTTTTATAAGAGGCCCTTTGACCATCCACCAGCCAATTAATTAATTGAGTTTTAAACTACGAGGAAAATGTTGTTTAAAAAAAATTACTGAAATCAAAATATCTATCTGCAAAATTGTGTGAAAAAGCTGTTAAAGCAAAAAAAGAAAAATGTATTTCAAAAAAATTCCCTTCATTTTCGATTCTCTGGAAAAGTTTATTAATTGCAAAAAAAAAAAAAATATAAAAGTGTTCTTAAAAAATATCTAAGATTAATCCGCAAAAATAATTAAAAATGATTTATGTGAATAAGTTGGGAATTTCAGGGCGTTGGAAAATTTTTAAATATATTTTCGTGATTTGTTCCGCCAGAGCTACACAAAAAGTGCAGTTTCACTGTTACACAGTGTAATTGTGCTAATCGTGTAGTAAATACGTATATATATATATATGCATGTACATAGCATCCGGGGCAAGATGGATAATTGGAGCAAGTTGTGCACTATGTTTCGAATAATTAAATAATAACGGCATTCAACATTGAAACGAGTACGGAGCGAATTTAAAGAAAATCCTGCGGGCATGAACGTGATAAATTTTCAAGCTTTTAATAGCTTAGTGGAATGAGCATTAGCCTTTGAAGAATTATGAAGCTAAACAAGCTGACGTCTTTCCAAATTTAAAATAATAGTTTCCTTTCTCTCCTGTGCTGATAGATAAAATACATACCCATTTGGCGCTTACACTTTTTTTCTAGTGCTTGGCCGATCTTCTCCTCCGATTGCCGTCTTCTCCGAACGGTAAATAGTTTTAAAGAGAAGCTATTTTTATGACAGATGTACACTTAGAGGTTTGCCATTGCCTGCCGAGGGGCGACCACTATTAGAAAAAAAAACACAATTTGTTTATGTTGCTGCAACCAGGGATCCGAGTGGTAGTGCGACCACGACTGTGTTGGTAGATACTGATTTCGATTTGCCAGTATTTAACGTACTACGAGTATATGGGTGCCGCCTGTGTCGGAAGGCCCCTTATAAGACCTAACTTTTGATAAAAAATTATTCTGCGGTCACAGTGCTGAGCCAGCGTGCCATAGGCTCACACCTTATCTTACGGCGTTTTTTTTTTCTACCGAAAAATGTTTCCTTCTCATTGTAATGAGAATACGAATGTTGTGTAGAAAAGAAAATGCGTTTGGTCAAATAACGGTGTTAGGGTAGGTTCTTCTTTCCAGCCTAGCAAAGATGTGTCAGTTTTTTCTAGTACCTTACCTTACCTTATTTTCATTAGGACCGCTCTGCATTTTTATTCACCAAGCTATATTTACTATTTACTATTTACGATCAAATTCGCGAAGTCATTGTCGTTTATAAAAGATAACAAAAACATCATAGAGGCACATCGTTTTTTTTTGTTTTGCGGAAAGAGGACTATTTCTAATGTTCATATTGAGTATTTACATACATACATACATATAATTTTAAAAAACTTTTTAATGGTTTACTCTACTATTTGCTCTATACAAAAATTAAGTATTTACATACATACATATATGTGTTTAACTAAATTGCATAGCGGTGGCTCTCCAATTTCAATTACCAAAACACTTTAAATAGCGATGTTATTAAATTAGGGAAATTATGTATGCATGTGCATACATATGTACATATAAGTACATATGTATATGTATGTAGTTAAATATGTAAATATATGCGTAAGTTGTACAATCCCACGTGCTCATAAATTTGCTATTTACCAACTACACTTTGGCAGCCAACAAACACTTCGATAGTTGGTGAAGTGAATCAAGCAATTCACACATAAATTTTAATGGGGGAAAAATAGTGTGGTTTGCGTAAACTCATGAACAGATAATAAGTAAATAGAAAGGCGGCAAGCGACACACAGCCACAAGTAACTCGACAACAACACTTCACGACGACGACGTATTCCGGTATGAAGGGTAGCTAGCGGCTATAACAAATTCGCACAAAACTGACAAACAACTTTGTCAAACTGCAACAACAATCAAAACAACATAAAAATTATAGGCCTCAAATAAAGTGTTGATTAAAAGGAAAAAGGAAGCGGCGAGTTTTCAAAACCGCTCATTGTCTAAATGTCAAGCAAAACCGCTTTGTTTTTGTTTCGAGTTTTCTAAATGCAATTTTTCGTACATTTTTATAAAGAAATACTTAAAAGGTTTATATAAACGTATATACGTATACGAATGTGTAGCGGACAATGTTGCCTAGGGCAAAAGAAAAAAAAACGATTTACGTTCAAAAACAAATGACAAATGGCGAATAAATAAACAAAACTGAAACATGGAGTCAAAAAATGTTAACACCAAAAGAGGTAGACTTTTTTTACAAGCAACCGAAACATGTTGCTGCAGGATTATGCCATACTTATGTATGTATGTAGATTAGACTGCATCACCAAAAAAAGTTGCGGTTTTTCCGCCGGGATTACAAAATTTATTTATTATATTTTAAGACGTCATCCAAAATATTCCGGAAAAATATTAAGATTTAAGTGAGCTGGACCGATTTGAAAATACCTCCAAAAATGGAGTTTTTTATGAATAAAAATAGTTTCTTAAAGAACTTTTTGAAAAAAGTCCCCTCAGTAGACAAAACAGATTAAGCTTAAAAAATCTGCATAAAAATATTTAAAAATCTTTTCAACTGAATCGTTTTGAATGAGGTTTTTGACGCTGTTTTTTTACTTTTTTCAAAGATTCTTTACGAAAAACTTGAATAACTGGGCCAAAACTATTCTGATTTAGACTTATTGGATCTCAGTAGAAAGGTATTTTCACACTGTTTTTATTTCTGTCCAAAAAAATTATTCGTGTCCCAATTTTTTTTTTCCAAATACCACCACATCTTAATTCAACTTTGAATGACGTTTGTTCATCCTACCTTTCTCTTTCATCCCCTGAATGAGTTTATTAGCAAAGAAATAAAAAGGGTGAAAAAATACCTTTCCACCGACACCTCTTAAGTCTAAATCAGAAGAGCTTAGGCTCAGTTATTCAAGTTTTTCTTATACCAATCTTTGAAAAAAGTTAAAAAAACAACAGCATTAAAAATCTCATCATTACGATTCCGTTAAAATTTTTTTTTAAATATTTGTATGCAAATTTTTTAAGCTTAAACCGTTTTGTCATTCGAGGGGATTTTTTCAACAAAAAATTTTTAAGAAACTATTTTTATTCATAAAAAACTCCATTTTTGGAGGTATTTTGAAATTGGTCCAGCTCACTTAAATCTTAATATTTTTTCGAAATATTTTGGTGGACGTCTTAAAATATAATAGATTTTATAATTTCTATGGAAAAATAGTACCGATTTTTTTTTGTATGGGGAGTGATGCAGTCTAATGTAGATAGGTACGTTCCACGGCTCCTTAAACAGCCACATATAGCCATGTATATATGTACTACATATGTATGTACATATATTAGTCACCTGATAGGCGTTTAAGCTTTATTTGGCAATGTAATTTGCGGCAACCATCTGCTTAAGTATCAGCGATTATTTTAAAATTTGACGTTTGATGAAATGCAAAAACGTTAATAACGTTATTGCAAGGTACATATTAAGATTTATTTAAAAAGCAAATAAAGAAACCGGACCGAAACCGAAAAATGCCGTTAAACAAGGTTGTATTTAAAAAATTTTTAACTTTTTGCATATTATTTTAAAACGCAATTTGAATACCAAAGTTGATAGAAATAGATCAAGCAACCGCAGTTATGGCATATTTGTCTATTTTTATATTTCTCCGAAATGCCGTTATGTGCAAGGTTTTTACATCTTGCGTAGGAGGCCCAATAATATCGGTAATTTAACGTTCAAGTAATAGAGAACGTACTGTCCTCTTATAATCTTCATCCTAGTTAATTAATTAACTACTTTTTTTTGCAAAAAGTTTGATATTTGTAACATTTTGGAAAAAGAGCGCTCACTTTCAAATAATAAACTATGTTCAATTAAGTGATGGCAAAATTAACAAATCAATTTACGAAAAATAATGAAACTATATATTTCATTAAAACTAAATGCGATTTTAATGCACCATAAAATACTCTTTTTAAGTGATGTACTAATTAAAATGGTAAGATTATTTAATTATATTTAAATGAATTGATTATTATTTATTAATGTTTAATTAATTTTTCAAAAATCGCTTCACTACATATGTAGTTAACATACATTTTTTTGGTTCGACTGGAGTATGCATATGTCCATACACTTATGGAAAAAATAGCTGCGAAATTCAAAATGATATTGTATCCAACTTATGTTTATTTTTTTACAATTTTAATTTAAAATACAAATCGTTCCATAACAGAAACCACATAAATAAGTTCACAAAAATTAATGAAACTTCAAAAAAATTTTATCAAAATTTCTAACTTTTTATTCGAGTATGCAGTTTTGAAGCCCATTTAATTTTAGTCTATAAAAGTGCGAGTCTTAATTTGCTAAACATTTCCGCTGATTTTTGAGTTTTTTTTTTGTCGAGGGTGTTGCACATTTTCATCCACATAACGCATAAACGAAATTTGTTTTTTTTACGGAA